AATATGGGTTGCTCATGGCGAGTAGGTTGCGAAAAGGTGAAAAACTGAAGAACGAATTTTGCCGAGCCGGCCTTTAACGCAAAATCCGAGCAATCATTCGAAAGCGGCTTTAGCTTCCATCCATATCTTTACACTAGACATCCGGATTACAGCTGCGAACTACATGTGGCTCATGAAGTCGTCGCTGCTGATGCCGCTCTTCTTTGGCTTGTCGGTCAACCTCATCCTGCAGTTTACGTACCTGGTGTATTTTCTGTGGTACGCTACTACTTTGCCATAGAAGATTCATTTAAAACCCAAAATTCGCACAGATTCGTTCCGCTTACCTAAGTAAAGTAGATCGTCAGCTTATCGTCGAACGCATTGCTACTTTACAAATGCCGGAATCGGTAAGTCTAGCCAAGAATCATGTCAGCCTACGCTTACTTACATCGCTTGCAAAGGTGGCCCGCTTTGCGAAAAATTCGATGGAGTCAAAACACAGTAGCCGAATCTGTCTCGAAGGAACTCACATCAATCGTCATCTAGTACGTTGTGGTATACCAGATCCTGAGAAGCGTCCGAAAGAGACACAACTAGTGTTGAGCAGACCGCGCGAGGGAATCAAATGGAGTGAAAAGAGTAAGTGCTACAAAAGAATCAGAAGTCTTGCTTCTACATGATACACGTCTTTTTTAGACCTAGAGGAACAGAAAAAATCGAGGAGATCGAGGAGATCGAGAAGATCGAGAAAATCTAGAAGGTCCAAAAGTCGAAAGGTTACTAAATAAACTTACTTTTTATGTTTCTTAGAATAAATCTTTTGAGAGTAAAAGAAGTAGCCGAGGCAAGAGATCTAGCCGGAGCAAGAGATCTAGCCGCAGGAGTAAGTCGCAGCGTTCTTCGAGAAGCAAACGGTCGCAGTCGCCAGAGTAAGTAGTACGAGACATGATTTGGAATTTTCATCGTAGGAAATTTAGTTGAATTACAGTCCATGTCAATCGTGAACTCCCTTTTCCGCAGGCGCACCGCAAGGCCAAAGCCTAGCGCCACGTTCGCGCGCAGCGCACGTTGACTTCATCAACAAGGCTCCTGCTGCGGATGCGTGCCCCACTGAAAAAGCAGTGATTGATTGACACAGACAATATACAGTGCGGAAATGCTGAGAATTGTTTTATTGTGACCATTACAGAAGAGAGGAAAACATTTCATTCACAATCAATGTAAGTGCGAAAACATCCGACTCAAAAAGCACACGTTCGAAAAGAAGCGGTGAAAAGTCAAAAAGACGTCACAGATCTAGCTCCAAGAGGCGCCGCAGCAAGCGTGAAAGTAGAAGCAAAAGTAAGAGGAGCCAGAAATCAGAGCGTAGTAATGGAAATGGTGAAGGTAGGAAGAAACGCGCGAAAGAGGGCGAAGAATCGGGGTGAGAAATAATTCAGCTTTGCTCAAATTTCTTTTTTGATCAAAAAAAGTTAAGGAGCGAAAGAGGCGAGAGGAGGCATGGGAAGAAGAAGACGAGGGACGAGTGAATCGCTTTGACAAAGCCACTGATACAGCGTAGATGAATTTTGATGTAGTAAAGCAGTATGTAGCTGTATTAAAGCTGTTGCTCAGGCATCAATGTGTAAAATTTCCCTCGAACACATCTACGTAGATACTGACTTGGACATATCATTTATTCTATGACCAGGAGACGCGAGACCGCATTGCGTACATTGTCTCAACAAGTCTGAGTTTGTTCTTCCTTGTTTCGAGAGAGTGAGTAAACCTGGACGAGATAAATATAACAAGTATAAATCTGCTAAGTACACGATTAGGCTTGT